GAGACACCTGAAGCTCAACCTAGCCTTACTTTTTCGTCTTTTATTCAGAAACTCTAAAACGAAATGTGCTGTCACTTTTAAGTCAACACAGGGATATAATCTGGGTAATAGGGAGTACACCATCCCAATAAACAAGTATCGCTTAGTATGCTGTGGAACAAACTTCCCGCTCCTATACGAGCATGTCGATCTCTCAGCCAGTTTCAACGATTACTTAGTGAATTCCTCCTATCTAACGATTCTCATCAATTCGTTGACGGCTAAACCAAAAACGGTAATACCATGTACAATGGTGCCACTGGTACCTAGACTCAAGGGAGACTAACGGCAATGACAAAAGTCTTCAGTACCGAAAACCAAACGCAAGGTTAAGGTCAAACCTAATTTTACAAAACTGACCCATTAATAACTGGCACTGAACGGGTTGATCATCAAAGCACAACAACTCTATCTATCGATGCCAAACAACCTCCAAAATCTGATGCAAAGTTATATTGCATATCACTGAGTTTAGATAATCTAACAGCATTCTTACCACCGGAGTGACTGCCTGTCTTATCCTTAGCTCCTTATGCATCATTAGACGATGCAACGCCTGATCCTAATTCCTTCTCTGGCCTTTTCGCTTCCGACGATGGTTTAGGTGCCTGGTAATTAATATATTTATGCTTACAACGTGAACCACACATACTAACACCGTCAACACTCACTTTATCTTCCTTATCGCCACGCAAAGTATTAGAAACTTCTAAATTATTATCCACCGATGGGGTTTTCCTCCTACGTCCAAATCCAGTGTTATGAGGTCGTTTAGCAGCCAGGTTTGAAACTTGTTTCCGAAGGGGAATGAACTAAATCATGAGCCAAAGTGGCAAAGCCAATAACTGAAGAATTTGTGTTACGTCGAATCCACTGAGTATCACGTAATGATGATACGGATTTCTAGAGTTCCCAGACTCAAAGCGAAACCGACCAAATCCAAAACAATTGGTTGCCAAACAACGAATGTATACTCAAGCAGCGACTGGACCCTGTGAAAACTATTCTTTACAGCAAAACATGTGTACAAGATGTAGCCACAAACCTTAAGTTTAGACGGCTACTGCAGTTTCCGTCCAAAACGAAATATGGTGGTGACACTAATCGTAGCAAGAGGTTTAATACGGTTGTACAAGCAAATTGAATGAGGTCAAACAAAATGGGTGGTCAATGTTTTTGAATGCATTACAAGAACGAAACGAAAACGACCTCAGCATACGGCCCATAAGCTTTTCAAAAAGGTGATTGACGCAGATGAAGAATACTATTCACCATAAGAATTAGGGCTTTTGTGATCCATTTACCAGTTCACTTCGCATGTAATGTATGTAAGAGGCGATAAAAGATGGACAGCTGATTCTTCCTGTCGTGTTTGCGTATGCTCCCTCTTGAGCTACTAAATCGACTCAGTGAAAATGGCCGATTCGCAGACCACGGATCTGAAACTAAAGCGGTTGAGAGGAAATCCAGCTACTTCAAGAAGTGATACTTTGCCACCTTCTACCCATCACCCGTGTTCTGTTGAAGAGCAGTACGCACCCGTTTGTGCCTCTCTAAATGAAAAAGACTGGTCTTCCTCAGGAGGCGCGGGATTTCTCATCCTGGTATTCGAACTGCTGCAAAGTCAGTGACTGAGTGTACGTATGACCAAACGTGGATCGAGATCTTTGACAGTGGTCCAGGGCCTGTTTAACCCAGCCCCGCTCAAAAGCGCAGAGGCACATTTTTTCATCTACCGGCAAATTTCCTGAGCCAGCAAGTAATGACAATAAATAAGTATTTTGTTCTCACATTGGTAATTTAACATAAGTGAATCAGATTGAACCTACCCAATACATGTGGACGTCTTTTGGCCACTAACTCCATCAGACGGCCTCAGCCACGCTTCAACATATACATGCAGATTCACGAGACGGCCAGTAGCAATACCTCTGTGCCATAAACCTGGCAGAATATTCACGAAAAACATCGTCAGACGCCAGATTTTCAACTTTGGCATCCTAAGTGTCATTACTACAGACAGAGGCGGGCAATCCAATAGCTGTCCGTTCCAGTAGCTAGCCTAATTTCCTGGTGTCAAGCAAGAGAACCAGTGCGTGCCATCCCGCGTCTGGTTGCGTAATTGAAAAGTTCCATTGACGACTGAAGGCGACGATGACAATAAAAACTGGTGACAAACGGATTGGCAAATCACCACGAACTGTCATACAACCTGGGTAAACGTCCGTCCATGTCCTTCCGCATTCCTGGTCCACAGAAATTATCCCACTCGCTCCGTGGTTCACATCCTTGGCATGTAGCTGTGGAGAAAGACCTGGATCTGTAACTTCACTATCCTTAAGTCTCTTACTATCGGCCAGAAAAACTGTCTACAGCCTCGACAACGGAAGGAGATTGCCCAGCTTTTGAGCTCACACTCCAAGACCAACTTGGCACTGACACAAGATCCACACCGACCCGCTAATAAATAACGAATACCTCTGTCGCACTTCAATTACAGAGAAAAAAAGTGTTCGAGAAACTATCTAGGCTACGTCCAGGCAAGTCCCCTTGCTGCGATAACCTGAAACCAATGGTCCTAAAAAGCTGCCCCAAGGTGCTTACTAAACCATCTCGCAACCTTTTTGAGCACTCGGCAGAGTCGTACGAACTCCCTGAAGAATAGAAGAGCGCCATCTTGTCACCCATCTTCAAGGGAGGAGACAGAAAAAGCCCTGTCAGCTACAGGCAAATTGCCCTACTCCCTACTGTGTCAAAAGTATTGGAAAGCCTGGTAGCTGACAACATCTGGGAATTCCTCAGTAGGTAAAACACTGTCCATACTGCTCAGCATGATTTTCGGGCTGGTCGTTCATGTGCCATCAACTTACTAACCGCCTGAGATGGCTGGACACTAAGCTGGGATAACAGGAAACCGGTACATGTTGTATTTCTCGACCTAGCCAAAGCATTTGACAGTGTCCCACCCACAGTACTGCTTCACAAGATCATGTCAGCTGGTATAAGCGAACCCCTACTCTCTTGGTTCAAGGAGTACCTGGAAGGGAGGCAGTTCTGCACTAAAGTGAGTAGAATAAGGTCGGAGTGGAGACCCTTGATGTCAGGAGTATCCCAAGGAGCAATCCTAGGACCATTTCTGTTACTCCTGTTTGTCAACGATCTGCCAGATAAAATATCCTCACCCATCCTCCTCTTCGCTGACGACATAAAAATTTGGAGGGTGGTAAACGAAGAAGCTGATTGTACAGCACTACAAAAGGACTTGCAGCAGCTCGAGCTCTGGTCGTCGGAAAATGGCCTGAGCTTCAACCTGGAAAACTGTAAAGTAATGCACATCAGTAAATATGAAGCAAGTGCGACCGACTTCCAGTACATGTTGAGCAACCGTGCTATCACCAGAGTGTCCATGGAGAAAGATTTGGGGCTCAACTTCTCCGACACCTTGGACACCAGCCCCAACTACAAAGGCATGACAACCGGGGCGAACGCCATTCTACACTTTCTGCGTAGACAGCTTGGCGCCCTCACTCCCGAACTCTTCCTTACCATTTTCAAATCCTACGTGCGGCCGCACCTAGAGGTCTTCAATACGGTGGCTCCTCCAACACTCAAGAGAGACTCTAATCTCCTTGAAAGAATACAAAGAACTGCAACAAAATCTGTTGTGGGGCTAAGGGGAAAGACGTATCCTGAAAGACTTAAACACCTCAACCTATTTACCTTGGGTTATCGCAGGAAAAGGGGTGACCTTATTGTGGCATACAAGATCGCCCATCAGGCAGACCATGCAAACAAATCAATTTTGCCTGCAACTCAACGATCTTCACGAGGAAACCCCATTAAGATAGCACACCAGAGAGCCAACACCATACTCAGGTCCGAATTTTTCTCCCTAAGAGTATGTGCTTTATGGAATGCCTTACCGCGACACATCGTTATAGCTCCCTCAGTCGACTCATTCAAGAGACGATTAGACAGTTATGTCACCTCGCATGGACTACCACGGACGTACTCAGGTAGTCACCAACCTCACTAGCCCCCAACTCCCTCCTAACTACCACTCACTATCTATCTCCCTCCTTAATACACCCACACTACCTACTAATTCTTCTGTAGGAACCAAACCTGCGCGATCATTCTCGCAATTCCCACTTACTTTTCTCCTTCTCTCCTTACTTCCCTTTTTCACCCCTCCTTTTCTTCTCCTTCCCTTCTTTTCCCTTTTCTCTTCCCTTATCATTATTTTCTTCTTTCTTCCCTTTTTTCTTCTTCATTCTTTTACCACTACCTTACTATTCTCTTTCAGGTACATACACAGACAGGAGTCACGGCAGTTCCCCAAACTTCCCAGCAACCCGTAGCTCCTTAATCACTCTACAAATTACAACCTATTAACCCACAAAATATCCACCTCACCGGAGCTAAGAGCAAGAAATCAGAGGGAGTTTCCTCGTCCACTGCAGGAGTGGGCCGAACAACTCGAACCAAGCCCTAAGAACTAGACGTGAGAAATCAAAAACTGCCAGTTTTCTACGCTTGCACCATCAATATTGGATACTTGATATTGGACCCAGCTACATCGCAGTCTTAGGTCAACTAACCAATATCCAACCACCTGTTGCGTATACCGCAGCTATAGCAGATGAGCGGCTGGGTCTACTGCGTTGGAGCCCACCACAGACCAAGAACCGTTCTGCTGGACCTGGAGCCAAGCACGAGGAAATCGACTAATTTTCACGAGCTCGATAAAGAGATATTTGACGTTGGAATTTTTTTTTTGAAGATTGATGGGAAGCCGAAAAAGGTGAATTTCTACTTGAGAGGTCTTTTTCAAACATTGTGGAATTAAAAATGAGGCAAATTTCCGTCCTCTAATTTTGTGGCACGTTGACTTGAATACGACAAATTGTCAAGGTCGAGTGAACCTTGCACCATCGCGGTATCTGAAGTTGCGCCTTTTCGAACCCACTGGCAGCTTGTTGGTTTGACGATGAGCGGTGTACTGGATACTAAGTGTTTTGCTGTTCAAGTCAGACTAACGTTGTTGGATGACAATTCCCAGTTTTATTCGATAACTGTGAGTGAAATTTATGACCAGTCAAGTGACCCGAATTTACGTTAGGTGAAAACAAAGGTTGGAAAAATACTGAACAGTATTGTGACTCATCTTAAAGTAACCCATCCACAGTATTTTGGGATTAAAGTCCAAGATAGAAAGCACAATTGGGTAAGAATACTTTGCGAACTTATTAGATGAGTCTAGTCAGCATTGGCTTCATCTCCAGAAAAGCATATTGCTGCAGATGAAATTACTTGGTAAGTTAATTTTGATGAAAGTTGTTAAAAATCGTTTCAATCTAACAACATCGTTTTGCGCTTGTTATCCGAATTCAGGGACTAGCGCTGAGTGCCATGATTTAAAATAACCCAGCCAGCATTTACTCCGGGCACACTTTGTTACTTTCTGGCGAAAACCCGAAAATGTTACTTCAGACGCATATGGGGCGACGCACGACATTCCCTGAATGTTTCAGCCCTTTCCCCAACAGTGTCAAAAGTCCTAAAGTGCTCTCGAAGATTCCCCCTATGGTGTCAAAAGTCGCAAAGTGCTCGCGAAGTTTTCCCCCGGAAGTGTCAAAAGTCACAGAGTGCGCCCGAAGTTTGAAAACACGCTTCACGCTCACCAAAAGGCATGTACAAGACGTAAATATGGAAATAAATTTATATTGTAACAATAACAGGCACATAATACTCTTCTATTTATTGTATCTCTCTTCCTGCGAACTGGGTAGCAGAGTGCTCTCCGCGTATTTAAGGATGAAGATAGGGACAACCTCACCACCTTCGGGCAATTCAGTCACCTTTGATAATTGTATTATGGAACATACTAAGTTTATCGTTTTCCCTCTCTTCGGCTTTTTCGCTCTCATCTTTAATCGGTCGCGACTGTTATGAAACCACCTTTAGATATGAATTCGGATTTTCTCGGCAGTCACTTCTTTATTATCACTCCCATGTCTGTGGATGTTAATACGGACGTCTTCGTACGTGATAAAATTGAAACGATAAAACTTACTGATAATAAGTTTAGACATTAGCGTATCCTTAAAAAAATGTTTGTTTTGCATAGAAGACCAGGAGTACAGCATTCCAAAGTTTGGCTCCATAATGTGACGGACAGAAACACTAATGTCTGATTCAGCAAGGCAGGACAACTCCTGCGCTGCAGATTTGCGCTTTTCCGGATCTATCATATCTTGTTCGAATTCTTTCATTCTCAGGTCGCTATCAATAAGCCATTTTCCGGATGCTTCAAGTCTCTCGAAAGAATCTATTGGTGTGACCTGTTTATGCAAGGAACTCGTTTCCATGAGGCTAGCCACCATCTTTTTCATTCTTTCCGTACGTTTAGATACGTCACGAAAATAATCGGCACAGCATTCAGAATTATCCTTTTGTACTCCGACATTTGTGGTAAGCTTGTGTCTACTGTGAGAGTAAAAGGCAAAGTTACGGGCGGCATTGATAGTAGGCAAACTGGATGAATCCTACATATATGAAGATTGGCTGCAGCAATTTAATGAACCTTAGGAATTTATATCACCTGCTGGAGGATGAACCGACTAAAGGCTTCCTGAATAGAGTTGGACTGAAATCTAAGCCACCATCTTCCAGTAGTCAAGATGGGTTTACCTTACTACAATATATAGGTGACGATACTTTCCATTTGGCTGCCACATTTTCTATTAGTCACATTTGAGTCCCTCTTGTACCTATCTTGCAGTTCAATAAAGTTTTGGATTTGGGGGCAGAAAGGCATTGAGATCATTCATTGGCTTCCAAGCCTGGTTTTGTATTTGTAGTTTTCTGATAGTTTTTTGAGCGCTCACACCTAGTTCCTGTTGTTCGGTTTTACTTCTCTATTAGTCAGAGAAAGCTCTTCCGGTTTCTTGATTTGACGATTTGTTTTCTGCTGTATTTAAACGCTTTTGTTTGAGTTGCTCAGTAGGCTACTGGTTCCAGGGAAAATTTTGCGTCATTCACGATTTCTGTCTGTACAGATGCCTGAATGGGAATGGCAGGATAGTGAGCAACAGTTCCATCCACGGAATATTGGGATGTTTGTTGAAGAAGTCTCTCGTTGGATGCACAAGACCAGATTGGCATTTGCTAACTTGCACCATCTTTGGTGCCGGCGAGATACCCAACTATTTATCCAAGGACTAGTATACTACGCTGCAATTCATTCTTTTATGTTGTACGGCTGTGGAATATGGCCGTTGAAACCAGGATTAAAGGGAGTACTGGGTTTTGGTCACAGATATCTCCGTAGCATTGCTTGCATATGGTGGAGTCACCATATGAGCAATGTTATGGTCAGGTGAAGAATTCTAAACAAGACAGGCAAGTCGATTGATGAGATTGTGAGCCTTGGTCGACCGAGATGTCTTGGACATGTGCTGCTTATGCCAAGCCATAGCTTACCTCAACGTGCCACTCTGAGGGAAGTTGGATTAAATTTGAAAGAGTTTAAGTTGGCCAGATCAAGGCGTGACACCAGTTGGTGAAGTCTGTTACTTTTGTCCTGAGCCGAATAAGGAGATGTAGACTACCTGGTTGTGGTTTCCGAGACGATAGAAGTCAGTTTCTGAGATCTGTTGGTGACATGGCTGGCAATCAATCACAATGGCGCAGATGTATCCACTCCCTGACCTCAAACGTTGAGCATTCACACTTACCTTTATCTTCATATCGCTTATTCTCTCATGCAAATTTACGTACTTTGGTATCATTCATTTTCCATCCATCTGTTCTTTATGTGCCAGCGTAAGGTGTAACAACTTGAGTAGATGAGCCTGTTTACTAGGCTTTACGCTCATCTTATCGCTCAGTCAGCTGTGGCTCAGTGGTTTATAGAGATAACTGCCAACCAATGAGTCACAGAACCGAGCACCGTTCTACCTATCGGCGTTTAGGGAGCAACCAGATAGTATCACTAACTTTCACACAATAGGTGTGTCTCAGTGCATATTTTAGAGATGTGTACAAGTCAGCTGAGTGCCTTTTTCGTGTTCTCTGGGCTGAATAGTTTCATCGAAAAGCTTTCATTGTCATTCTAGATAACATAATCATTGGCACAAACTACTATGGGATTTGCACTACATCTGGCTTAGTGGCTTGTCTCGATGACCTTAGGTGTGAATAGTTGTCTCTGCTAAAGTATTGTCCTTGTTTCCACAAGTATTTTCACTTAGTGTTGTGCCGACGTAAATTCCAGTCATTTTTTGAAAACTTTAGATATTAGCCCTTTCTTTGTAAATTTATTTGTATAAAGGTTACTTCTTCATGAGGAATATGTCTATGTATGTACATTTACTTTTTCAGATAGTCCACCAATCGTAGAACAATCTGTAAATAATCGTACACCGAACCGTCAGGACTTTCAATGTGTAACATCAAAAAATGTTATCCCAATAGAATCACAACCAACAGTCAGTTTAACTGAAAAATTGATTTCCTCATTTCGTACATGTGGTCTAAAAGCATGCTCTTCAACAAGATCTGAATTCCCGAATGCTTATATCAAAGATTTGCGTAAACCACTTACTTTAATCTATCAAGCCTATCTTGGGATAAAGTACTATCCTGCTGATCCAACAATTATCGCGGATGAACAAACAAGGTTCGTTAACTTTACATCTACCATATATATATATATATATATATATATATATATATATATATATATATATATATATATAGTCTTTGAATAGCAGATATATATATATATATATATATATATTTCAATGTCTAAAATTCTCGAATCCATCCTAAATCATAGGTCCTTATGGTGTTTCGAGTGTTATATTTAGAAAATGTGCAGATATTTTATATCACCCCCTTACAGATATCTTCAATGCATCATTTTCTAAAAACACAATACCCAATACTTGAAAGGAGATCAAAATCGTACCTGTGTCTAGTTCATCTTCTGGATCAGATGCTACATTTTGACCCATCGCCATAACTTCCTCTTTCCTGGAGACAATGGAGAAATTAAGTCTCCTTATGATTGAGACTTCATTGATAGTTTTCAGAGATCCAAAATAGTCTGCTTATAAGCACAGGAGAATGACTTTGGAGGCTGTTACTGTCCTGCATTGTAATATTGTTTCTAGTTTCGACAAAGGTGTTAAGTATGTTTGTTGTCCCATTTTGGATTACTCATTAGACTTTGACTCTTTTCCTAGACCGTTCTCATACTAGGCCATGGGTTACAAAGTGTCTATATTCTCATTTTTCTGAAAGGGGACACTACACTGTCTATAAAAAAGAAGCGCTCGACTTCGTTACTTACTGAAGCTGGTATGCTTCAAGATACAGTACTTTCTCCTTTTCTGTCTTCGTTCTTTTTGCATAATCTACCTTATTCTGTCGAAGCTAATTTTATTAAATATGCTGATGTCTATTCCAGTTAATTCTCACTTAGATTGGTCCAAATTAAACGAATTCTTGTTTGTAGTTCGCCAAGGGTCTCTCTTAAATGGTCTCAAGTTAAACCCTTCTAGATGTCAAACTGTTAATTTAAGCCTAAGGTGGACTTGTATGAGCTGCTTAGGCTCCATGACTCCTGTTGCAGTACTGATGGTATTTCTACAGACAGCGAATAGAGTGTCACCTATCTTGGATCAAAATTTACTTCTGATCTTTGTTGGCCATCTCATATCTTATTGACTTATAAAAAAAATCTTTCGTTTAAGTTAGTACATAAAGAAACTGAGACTTTCTGGTATAATCTAACTTCTACTTTGACAATTTATTAATTCCTGCATTTTAGCTATTCTTTTCTATTGTTCCCTGCTGATCCTTTCTGGTCCTCTAAAAACGGACTGTGTTATATTGCGTAGGGCTTTGAAAGACGTCAGTCAGTAAGGTGAATGATGTGCGTCTGGCTCAATTGATTAACAATGTAATCGATAGACATTTAAGTTCCAGCAGGCAAGTAGCTAAAGTAATTTTAACTGAAACTGAGCATCCACTTCATTGACAGATATCTTCTTGTATCTCCCTCAGGGAGGATAAGAAGAAATTACATCACACTGTACGATTGTACAGCCAAGTACAAGAATTTGACCGTACCTTACCTAGCACGCAGATTATTTGAGGAAAAATGCGTTAGAACAGAACTCAGTTTTGTAACAGTTAACAATCCCATTTTAATAATTTAACTAACAATGTAAACATTTCTCGTCTTGAATATTATTTATTATGATTATTATTTTTCCCTTGGGTTCCTAGTAGAACATAGGGTTTCAGTAGCACGCCTCCATATCAGTCTATTCACTGCAGTCTTTTAGACCTGACACCACGACTGCCCACAAGCTTTCATTTCTTCTCATATCATCTCCTCCATGTCACACTCGCCTCGAACGCCTAACTCGTCATTTTCCCTTTGCATTCCACTCGAGCGTCTGACCTGGCTCGTGAAGTCTCCAGTCACCCTTCTCAGTGTATGCCCGAATCAACCTCACTTTTTTCTGCATATTTGTTGGATGATAGGTTCTTGCTCCGTTGGTTCGTTGCTAGCCAGCCGGAGTTCCTTGTTGCTTATCCTTTCTGGCAATCCATCCTATCTTCAGTGTGGAGTGAGCGTAGGAGGCAGCTGTTTATGATGTATGTCTGTAGTTTGTTGTAAATGCTTTTCGTGACACACCAAGTTTCTGAACCATATATCAACACTGACTTGACTAAATTGGTGTTGAGAATTCGGATCTTGTTCCGCACACATTACTTAAATTTTTATAATGACACAATTCCATCTTATTTAGTCTGATCTGTGTAGGGATATGTAGGCTACACAACTGAGATGGGCAAAACAATAAGAAGCAACGGTTTAGGACTCTTGATGACATGGCTAAAAACCTATCACAGTGGTGTAGATGTATTCACTCTTTGACGTCTTCTGAAATATATACATATTCGCTGACCTGTCACAACCTTGTCTGGTTTGATATCAGTATTTCTCTCTCTCTCTCTTTATATATATATATATATATATATATATATATATTTATATATATGATCAATTTTGATGTCATTGATAGGTTGGTGTTAGCAGTGGATCCTGGACATGTGTTTCGTCCAGTTTAGGACTCACTAGTCAGCTGAATGCCCTTGGACTCATCTGTTGGGTAATGTTGTTCCCACTGCGACTAGAACTTATTCAAATTATAACCCTTTTACGCAGTTCCACTACACCAAGTGGAGTAACCAGGATTTATTATGTCATTGCATTATCTGAATTTGTATTCATAATATTCACTTCCACTGCGTTATTTAACAAAAGTTAAATGCCTTTTCGCCACTGTTGTTCAGTAACCAAACCATCATTCGATTAGTTTGGTCGAATTCCCTCAAAATGCCAACTTGTTACAACTAAGCTGAGCCCTGACAAGGCCCAGAGTCCACTGGACACTGAGGGGCAATTTGAGAATATTTGAGATGGGTTTCTTGTCACCCAGATGTAAATGGTTGTCTCATGATTGGTTTTCCGTGGTATTCTGTTTAACAATGGGGAGTGAAATGGTTGAACGCATTGACCATTCTCTATTAAAAGCTAAGTCCACTGTGCTGCAATTTACCATATGATTTTAAAACATGGCTATTAAAGGTATAGGATATTAAGAGGTTTCTGATGTTCCACCATCATTACCTTCATGGTATAAGCCGTGTGTCACTGTGTCACCATGTCAATAACCTGGAGGTCAGATGAAGAGTTTCAGAGAGGAAGAGAAAGTTAGTTGGTGCCGTTTTGAACCCCGATTGCGAAGCATGTGATGCGTGTCGAGTCACACAATGTTAGAACAAAGACATTTGCCTAATAAAACGAGCTCATTTGATTTCATTGCCTTTCATCAGCTGCAAACACCCTTCAATTGAAATCAATTATTATTAGTAATAACATACTTTAAACACACAGAAACAAATGGAGATTTGAAATCCAGGATTAACAATAAGATAGCGAGTGAGTCAAGGAAACACAGGATTAATAATGACAAATCTTAGTCAAAATCAGTGGCAAGTTATAGCGTCTTAACTAAACCACACTTATAGCTGACCTGTCTTATCCAGTCAGAATGTAATTCACAAGAATAAAAAGTCTGTGCTGAAATGATAAACAAGAAGAAGAATTTGGTGTAACTGAGAAGGTTCTTATAGAGAATGGATATCCGAAGAAATTCAGCATGGCCGACAAAATCTCTACACGGATACAAAAGGCTCGGTTGGCTTCCGTCAACTAACACCACTTATGGCGCCGCCGTGATATCCGATTGCCTATTAAGGACCGCATGTACTGCACAGCAGTCCGGTCCGTTCTACACTATGTATGTGAAACATGGCCATTGAAGGTGGAAGACATGAGAAGACTTCAGGTGTTTGACCACCGTTGCCTTCATAGTATATGCCGTCTTGCGTGGTGTCATCACACTACGTGAGTAACGCAGGACTTAGGTGTAGAGTTTTAGGGAGGGAAGAGAGGTAAATCAGTTGACGAGCTTATGAACCTTCATCGACTGGGATGGTTGGCTGTGACACGTACTACGTATGCCTGGTCGCCGATTGCCTCATCATACAATGTTGGCCAAAGTAGTTTGAGGCTGGAAAAAGGCCCGAGGTGGTCAGACTAAAACATGGCAACAATGTCTGAAGTAGCTGATCGTTGGTTTGAGCCAAGTAGGAGGCGATGCAGACTACCTGGTTGGGGTCCGCTGGACAATAGGAACCAGTGGTTGGAGACTCTAGGTGAACACATGGTTCGAAACCGAAGTCAGTGGTGCAAATGTTTCCCCACACACATTATCCTCATCTTAACATTATGCCAAATCTTACCATTCATTCTTGTTTTCTCTCTTTTGACTGAATATTCTTATCTTCATCTTGCATGTCACTACCTTTTTACTTGATGTACTGATATGAGGTGTGGCATCTCGGACCGTTAGGTGGTAATGCCTGGTCCTATGTTGATATTGATGATGATGATGATGTCTAGCGTTCAAACGTGATGAGACATCTAAAAGAATCGACAGAAGAATAAGCTTCATTGAGAAGGAGCTTCCATATACCCAAACTGATCTCAGTTTACAATACACTATGGCCAATAATACAGTCTAAAATAGACAAATGTTCATTTCACATCACCTCCAACTGTACGTATAAATTCATCTATGCTTGTGGAAACAAGTACATAGGATGGACTGAAACAATGACAGATCTACTCGATTTTATGAGCATATTTCAAGATATCTGTTTGTGACTGGTAGAAAAGTCTTTAAGAGCTCAATTTTTATGCATCGAATGGAAACAGGATATCAAATAGATGTTTTTCAATCCTTCAGGATAATCAACAAGCAAACAACATCATGTTTATTAAGGTTTGGCTGAAGCTGTCGCTATCAAAAGTTTTCAACCTGACCTATATACTGAAAAGCAGACCGTAATTAACCCTTTTACATGTGTATATATGTATAGTCTTCCCTTTTCTTTCTCTTGATTGGATCATCTCTTGATTAATTAGTTATTATTATGTTGTGATTTTTCTCTTGGTTTCCTAGTGGAACATAGGGCTTCAGTAGCACGCCTCCATTCCACTCTCTTCTCTGCTACCTTTTTGAACTTGGCTCC